GCCTCAATGCTGCTAGGGGCTTCTCCAGGTCCTGAAGGCTGTCATGAAACCTGTCCAGTTGATGGCACCACACATACATGGTGATATAGACTGATATGCTATATATTATGTGTATAGATGTATAATATACAGTATATATGTAATCAGAATTATTAGAAATATAAGATTATATGGAGTCAGAGTTTATCTTAGACTTATTATTTGATCAACGGCATGATTACAATCCTACATTGAAGCTAGCAGCCTTTGATTAGCAGTATTTCGACTTCAGGAGCAGTTGTGAGGAGTCACTGGGTAGTGCAAGTTTAAAGGCCTGTGACTTTCTGTGCTGAGACAAGAGTCTCAAGGGACTCAGGGCAACAATTGCAATCTGAGTGGGGGAAATTATTCTGCACAAATTGTCGCAAATTCTAAACGTTGATTTTTGGGTATCCTATTTCTGATAAAAAACACACATCCTGTATCATCTTGCCATGCATCATGACGCAGTCCTCAGCGCCCCACTCCACTGCCATTCGCTGCTGCCCAACTGGTCGATGAGCCTAGTGAATGCACGGTGTCCGTATGGTGAGATCCTTGCCCAACAAAAAACAATAAGAACAGATAAGTATAGAACACTTAATCATACTTAATCTAGAACATGACCCAGGTCACGCCATAGGGATGCAATTGCAATGACTTGGCGAGGCTTTGAAGCACTTGGAGCTAACGTGCCAGACGTCGGACCTTCTTATGTAGCAAGTGAGCCTTGGGGAAGGAGCACGTCTTATAATCTGGAAATCTTGGAACAGACTAATCTTGGAACAAACTAATCTTGATATTTCTTGATTGCAGAGTGCTGATGTTTGATGATGTTTGCGGATGCTAGTCAGCCAACTGCAGACTTTGCGGATGCGCTGCTGAGGAATCCGAAGTGCCTCAGCAAAGGGTGCCATGCGGCGCAAGATTTCTTCGAAGAAGTCAGCATTGCCAAAACCTGGTCGCCCAAGCCGAAGCAGATCGGGGACTTTCCATGGCTTTCCCATACTTTCTTGTTGGAACATCTGACAAAATGGCCCACTTAAACAAGCCGTAAACATATTTAAACATCCTCAAACCAATCCTAAGCATGTAAGATTCCATAAGATTCCATACTGATTCCTCCCATGGAAACAGCATGGCTGTGAACACACTGGAGTCCATGAATGTGTGGTAATTTTTGTTGAGAGGTTTGTGCACGAACTTGCAAAGCCGCGCTCCAACATCCCACCTTGCTTGGCAAAGGCCCACAAAACCTCAACATCTCACAAAACGAAGCAGAAAACAGGGAACCAATGACAACAAAAGGGCATGTAACGTAATAGTATGTAATAGTAATAGTCCAATTTCACGCAGCTTTCTGTCCAGGATTGGCGGAGCTAAACCCTATACACTTAAACGACACCATATTACAACTAGAACTTGAGATCAGTCCTGTGCTGTTCCACAGGACTTCGCATCCCAACTTCGAGCAAGCGGCATTGGCAGCTTCTTGAGGGATGAAATCCTAGGCGACAGTCCAAGTGAAGACAAGTTCACAAGAGAATCTCCAGAAAAGCTCCAGATGTCGCAGTCCTCCACTCGCTTCAAGGTCTCTCTCTGAGCTTGTGCAAAGAGGGTCTCATCAAACACCTGCAAAAGGGTTGAAATTTGGAAGTCTCAGCAACAGCAGTTATGATACACCAGGATACACCATGATGATGCAACCTCATACACTCCCATTCCAGTTATCCCTATCTAGGAGGCTAAACGGCTAAATGAATCCACGAAGCTTTGATTAAAGTCACCGCGTCAAACCGCACAAATTCTAGCCTGCATGCCAGGTCGAAACTTAATTTTGGCCAGAATCACCTTGAAAGAAATGACGACATTGCCCATTCGTGCCAAAGTTGGGAAGTTGAAGTTGATGGCCCAGCAGTAATTTTCAAACAAAACTGCCATTATCAATCCATTGTCAACCAACTGTACTATATTAACATCGACAAACACCTGGCACATCTTAGCACATCTTGGCACATCTTGGTTGGCACGGTTGGAATGTTTCTTGTTTGTGGGTCTTCCTGCCACCTGCGACTATCGGGGCCTGTAAGGCGTCGAAACCATAGATGGTGTTCGCCTCAGCGAGTTGTGTTTCTTCGTTCTGGAAATGACAAGCCTGGTACCGTGGTGAACATCATATCAAAATAGCTGGTCATGGATGTTCAACCCCCTCCAATCGAAAATCAAAAGTTAAAACCCATCCCTTTTTCCAGGTCAGGGAACAATCTCCTGTGGAGTAAAATCCTTCAGCGGCAACGGGGATGAAGGCGAAGTGATGAAGGCAGCCGTCTGCTGGAAAAAACGGTCATGAGGAATGCCTTGTTTCTGCAGTGTGGCCGAAAGATGCCGAAAAATAAGACGTTTTGAATCTAAATATATCATACTATAATTAGTTATATATAATGACATATGCACCAACTCCTGATCTACTAATAATTATCTACTAATTAATAACTAATTACTCTATAATAACTACTAAAACTACTAATAACTAAACTACTACTAACGACTACTAATAACTACTGATAACTACCAATAACTACTAATAGCATCTAATCGAAGGAAGTTTAGAAGTCAAACTTCCGACAAAATGGACAGATGAAAAGCAGAGCAGGGAAGAGGCAGAGAGAAGAGAAAGATCAGAAGGAAAGAAGATGGAGATGCACGAAAAGGTAGGAAAGTCGGGCTCCGGAGGGTCGAAAAGTAGGCTCGCTAAAGCGGCGGGTGCGGAGCCAGCTGGCCAGATGAGAGATCAAAAATTGCACGCCCTTGTGGCGCGAAGCACATTTCGAAGTCAAATAGATAGATAGATAGATAGATAGATAGATAGATAGATAGATAGATAGACAGATAGACAGATAGACAGATAGACAGATAGACAGAGATAGAGAGAGATAGAGAGAGATAGATAGATCGATAGATAGATAGATAATGATAGATACATAGAAGATAGGTTGGTAGGTAGGTAGATAGTCAGAGACAGAGAGAGAAAGAGAGGAGACCTCAAGCACCTTTCGGTCCATCAGTGGATTCGCTCTGCCATCCCTGATTCACAACAACCAATCTCTCCTATAGGTTTCCTATTTTTGAAACTTCCGCCGACTTCCGCCACCGCCTTGTGCGGTACTACTGGCAACTACTAATATGTAATTACTGTTAACTACTAACGACTACTGTATCAAATACTTCTTGCAAGTGCTGATAGCAAAACACTCGTGGCCAGAATGGAGACAAGAACCACCACTGCAGGACAAAGATTCGAAGTTTGGCACGTTCCAAGGATTGCAGCCCAATTAACGCACTCCAAGACACACATCCGCATCAACGCAGTCACTGGGTTCGCGATGTCCTGTTCTGGGGCTGAGCAGGTCATGAATCTCACTAGGTCAATGGCTCAACATTCTTCAGGGCATACAAGGTGGGGGCCCTCTAGATAGCTAAGTTGACAAAATAACTTGGTTCAGCAGTGTTTATGGAGGATATCAATATAGTTCATAGGGGTTGTAAAGTTGTAAACCAACTTATAACTATGGGGCCAGTAAGAAGCACAATGAACCATAAGATGGGTCCTCAACTGAAATTACTATCATTATGATGTAAGAAATTTACCATTAATGATGCTATGATTAGTATCATTATGGTTATCATTAACATTCATTAACCATTAAATTTCGAAGGAACTGGCCAATGACATCCTGGGCAGTGGCTTCATGGAACCGCGAAGCCAAGTGGTCAGCAACTGCCCGCACAAAGTCGTCGTCACGATCGAAGGTGACCTGACGTCCCAGCTCGATACGAGTGTCTTAAGATGGAGGATAACTGGGAAACTGCGATAACCATGGACCACCCCAAAATATCCATCTTAATGAGGAATTGCTGATGACAAATCCATGGGTATACATGGGTATACTGTATACCGTATACCCCAATGATTGGACAAATCCACAAAGAAACTGAAAAACTGCGAATCTCCCGTTGGACCCTGGGGATCCAGCTAGTCCAAGGCCATGTAGAAGGTTTGACATGTTTTGCCTCAGATTGATGGCGGTTTATCCAACCATTTATGAAGATATAATGGTGATATGCTGGGATAATACTGGGAGGATAATACTGGGATAATACTGGGATATATGTAATGGGGATAAAACTGCTCAGCCCAAAGTTTCCACTAAAAACAAGCCTCAGACACGGCCAAGAAAATACACCAATTTTTCATCCAATTAGTTTGGTGAAAGCAATACCGTAATACAGCATAATACAGCAATTTCTGATGGTTACAATGGTTACCATTGGTTACCCATTTCTGGTGATATTGGGGATGGTTTATTGCCTTTAGAAATGAGCAAAGTCTCAAGTCCTGAGCCACAGACGTGGTAAACTTTGGCAGTGCAGGTGGCACCAAGTGTACCACAGTGGAGAGAAGGTCATGATGCCTGAAGTTCAGCACGCCAAGGGAGTAGACCATGATGGAAAACTCCTCTGCCTGCAAGATTGCTCCACTCTACATGGCTCCATGGATGTTGGATGTTAAAAGTACGAGCTCTGGAAGTATTTCGTGGGCTCTTGTCGTGGTGTTGCTGGCTGTGTTCTTTGTGGTTCTTTGTCAAGATGACATCGGAGACTTACAGGACTTACAGGGTTACAGTAGATAGGGTTAGATAGGGTTAATGAGTGCCCCCATGACGTCCATGGCGCCTTGAAGCGAGGGAGCTTCGGGATCGCATGGTCTCCCAATGCACGCAGCATGACCTCAGTCTGCAGAATCTTCCGGGGCGGTTTTCGCCAGAATTAAGCATACAATCACTTGACTCTTGAGCGTATATTCTTACCACATTGCTTTCCAACGAACCAGAATGCAAACACCTGTAACACTGTAAGCCCCTTCAGGACAACAACACGCAGCCCAGGGACGGGATTAGCAAAGCCCAAGAGCGCACTGGAGTAGGCCATTGAAACCAAGGATTGACAATCCAGCTGACTGACCCGGCCTCCTGGACATCTGGCTCACTGGAACGACTCGGAAAAGCCCATGGTTGCATCATACACCGCGTACAATTACAACATATTCCAGCCACCGATCCACTAGAGCAATCGGGAATAATAGAGAGGAGACAACACACACACATCAACAAACGGCTTCAACATATATTTCATAATATTCCACAATATAACACAATATCCCATAATAATGTAATAATAATGTCATGATATTGGATGATCTATGATGATCTATTAAATTTATTAGATGTTTCCTGGTATCCAACATCTCAAAATCTCCACAACACATCACTGCCTTCGACCAAATGCACGGCCAAGGCGTTGAGGTACGGATCATGGCGCCACTTCAACAGGGCCATGCCTTGCCCCGCGAGTTGTCCGTAACTGGGGACGAACCATAGCTGCGCTGTTAATCAATGGGTTGGTTTTAAGGGAAATTCTGCCATGGAACCCCCCAGTTTGTTCATGTGATCCATGGGGACCCCCATGGATTGTCCCTGAATAACCAATCCATTGAGTCGAGTCAAACGCCCACATTTACAAGATTTTGCAAACATACGGGAATACGGGGATGTCAAAAGATCGGGTAGCCCTAAATGCACTGGTTCATCGTGCTTAACCCTAATTTTACCCTCTTAATTAAAGGGCCATAAGTGCCATAACTTACGGTGCACAGCCTATTTTCAGACAGACCATGACAAGCCAAGCTGCCGTAGGTGAGATTGTCGAGCTCCTGGGGCTTGAATCGCCAAAAGTCCTGTGGGCTTATCGGCCAATTGTCAACTGTCACCTTACAACCTTTTGAACTTGATGAAATCAGAGCTGTTTTCATATGTCGTCCAAAATTATCTCTGAAGAATCTACAGTAGCCTGCAAAATCTGATAAATGATATAATATCTGCACATCCACAATTATTCACATGATGTTTCACCATGTTTCACCAGGATTCACTGAAGTCGATGGCTCCTGCATGGCATTTTGAGCACAAGCCAACAAGGTCTGCTCCGATTTGAAGCCCAGTTTGCCGAAACTATAGACCATGTTGGAGATCTGCTGCGACTCGATCCGGTTGTGATGACGGCTGAGGTGAGAGAGGAGCCAACGTGCCACGGACTCAAAGAAGTCTTGCTGAAAGTACCTCGGCAACTGGGAATGAACTGCAGCCATGAAGTGACCATGTCAATCTATTCCAGAAAGGATTTAAAGTTGGCTCTGCTCAGATTATCAGATTTCTCCGGGCATCCATCAACTATATAAAAAGAAATGAAAAGATAACATGATACGATGAAAGGACATGCTGTGTATGGAAGTCTGAGCCTTTTCTTATCTTTTCTTTGCAGTGTCTCACTGAAACGTTTCGCATGTTCCAAAGTGTTCCGATTGTGGCTATGGGTCGAACCTGGTAAACCCCCAATATATGCAACTTTTTGAAAATGGGGGCAGTAAATCATCCATTTTTAATGGGAGTTTCCATGAAATAAACCATCCAGCGGGGTGCTCCCATAGGCAACCTTCGGTACCACCTCCAAGTATTCGACAAGATACGCCACAAGGCCACAGGCATATACTGCGCTCGTCAATGCTAAAGCATCCGCGTCAGTGATGTGTTCACCTGCAGCTTGGTTTTTCGACAAAGGCCATGGAGATTAGACAGGAGTTCATGATAAACCTGTTAGAACTTGTTCGAGACTAGTTTTGGCAGTTTGATGAGATCACAGGATGAAACCGGCTGGTCAAAAGTATGTTCAGTAAGCAACATCTTTGGCTTGGACTGGAAAGATGTGGGTGTATTCAGGTGATCCAAACGCAGCGGGTTGGCAAGTCCACTTCCTAGAAAAAAATACTGTGGATGGACAAAATCCTGCACCAGTTGGTACTGTAACTATTGGTAACTATGAAACACTGTAAATAATTAATGAAATTGTAGTGGGATAAACATGGATAAACCATCTACCAACTGGTGCAGAATTTCTTCCATCCACAGTATTGAGAAGATAGGGTTCGTTCCACATGCCAGAAACCAGGTCTTTGAACCCAAGAGGAAACTGGAAAATCTTGTTCATGTGGAAAAAAACATGAAACAAACATGAAGAAACCCTGCTACCTGTGGTATTTCTATGTGTACTTGCATTCCAATTTGGAGGCAACAAAGGGGGCCGTTGTCGGTCTGGGATCTTGTCCTGGAACCAAATAAACATCTCTGAAGCCACCAGCCAGACTCTTATTCTGAGTCATTTCTCAACTATATACGTGAATATACGTGTTCATAATTATCATAACTGTTTGTATACAAACAGTACTACAAGTACATGTGTATATATATATATAGAGAGAGACCTATATAGCTATATAAGCATATAGCTACAGTATATCCGATGTCTTAACCATTCACCAGCCATGTTTGAAAACCACCGGATGGAGTTTTCTGTCCTTTTCACTGCATCCAGGGGACGAAAGCGTGTCACCACGATCTGGCACAAGGCCTCATTTCGGAGGCCCACCTGGCGTGAGATCGGAAAACCTGGTGTTCCACAGGAATTCATAGTGGATGGATATGTATTATGTATATATATATTATCATATATATATATATACACAACGTATAAACACATGTTTTTCTACGATTACATTATGTACATATAAATTATGTATGATTATATGTACTTAAAAAACATGTATGATTATTTGTACATATAAATTATGCATTGTTATATATGTGCATGTTGTTATCTTAGATATATACCGGCTTTAAACGTCTTGAGATGGACGTGCGGAATAGACCTTCATTCAAAACATTTCAAAACATGATCCTGACCAGTTGAGAATATAAACACACATGCAAAAAAAACACACACAAGGAGAACATCTTTCTGAGGCTTCCTGTCGGATGAATCGAACATTTCGAAATCTGTGGCACAATGATAGAAGAGGCCTCTCCCTGAATACAATGGACAACTGTTGGACAACTAGTGGGCAACTTGACAGTCTAAGTTCCTTTCTAGTGCAGATTTTTTAAAAATAAGATCGACCAGTCTATGGACATTGAACATCTTGAACCAAGGCTTCCCCAGTCCCTGTCCACCTTCGCTGCTGCATGGAAGCAAACCGCCAAGTGGCGAAGTGAAAAGCTGCCTTCCTGCTGTCGCACATACCTCTCCAAGTCGTCAGCCGCCACGCTGAGCTGCTTCACAGCGGGACTCAACTACAGTAGAGTATCAGAATAACATTGCTTTGGTTTCTGGGAACAACGAAGTGCAATGTGGCATGATAATGCACGATATGGGTTTGATCGAAAATAACCCCATTCTGTCCACTGGTTTATCGTCATTATCCCATTTAAAGCTAGCATTTTCTTCTGGGGAGGGTATGTACATGTATGTACCCAATATTTCCGAAGACAGCCATGTTTTCCCTGGGCTGTTCCCAGGGCACTCCAAGAGCTTCTCAAACAACTCCTTTCGACTTGCGAAGTCCAGTTGCGCCGCCGCATGCAACACAATCGACACCTGCCCGGTGATAGCTCGTTGCGCTCGTTGCGTTCGTTGCTTTCTGATGGGTTGGAGAGGCGGAGCAAACGCAAAACGTTTGGCTTCGAAATCGACTTGCATATATGAATCATACATGGATGATATGGGAATGTTGAATGATTAACTGTACTTCGTCCTGTGATGTTCTGTGGGTCTTTGGTATTCTGATGGATTTCTCGACTCAGTGAAGGAGCGTACAAGCAGACTCTTGAAGCTACTAGTATATCAATCTCCCTTGCTATTTGCGAAGCGCTCAAAACTTTGTTTCCCGGCTTTCTACTGAGAAAACATTTTTGCGAAACCTTTCGCGAGACTTTCGCGAATGCAACCGTTGCTCCCACGAAGTGAAGTTTGGACAATACACCTTTGTGGAGCTTTTGCTGTAATTGAGGGATATCGCCGGAACATACTGAACATACACCAATATATAATATATAGAGGATCTAGAAACATAAATAATGCTACAATGGCCACTTTCGCCAAGCTTTCGCGACGGCATCTTTTCACTTGGCTTTCGCGATCTGCTTTTTTGCTTTCGTGTGCATGAATCAGCTTAATTACGCCCACCTTTAACTCTCTACTTACCAGTAGCATATTTTTGATGCTGCTCATTCGAGTTTCAGATTTGTTTGTTCGAACATTCTGAACCTCATATGCATGTAGATTTATATAAACATCTTAAACATCATTATCTACATTGCGGATATGGTTTCTGCACTTTGCCTCTCAGATAACTGATGATAACTGCCAACAAAAACCATCGTCATGCTGCAGCCTCCGGTGGGTCACAGTCCCACAGCCGCCGGAGCATTTCCTGCGCCAAGGCCTGGGCAATCTGACCAGATCTGACCAGTGGATGCGATGATCTAACTTTTTGATCCCCATGGTATCCCCAGTCGGCCTCCAAGGAGTGGGGGTCCTCAAACTGCAGCACCTTGGGATGCCCATTTCACAAGATGGGAGATGATGGGAGAACATCATGGCGACCAAACTTGGGGCCACTCTGCCAAAATGATCCGTATCTGAAAGTTATTTCAACTGACATTTCATGGTTGAATGCTTTGGTAGGGGAAAACCAAAGGGTTTGAGGGCTCGCCCGTTTCTGGACGCACCGTGTGACACACCCAGAGTGGCCATTTGACAGTAGCCACCTTTGTAAGTGTAGAAACATCAAAATGTCAGCAATGGAGCATCCCCATCAATATCCTTGTTCGCGTATGGTCGCATTCCCTGTTCGGAAATTGTGGTCTATCTCTGACCTCTGGAGAAAAACAATCAGGAGATAAATCCGCTCTAGTGACTCTAGCCCATGGCTTCCACATGTTTTCAAGTAATGAGCATGATGAGCTGGCTAGCGCTGGGGGTACTCAAAATTATCACCACTCGAAAATTAATCAACTATAATCTGGATATATTTATTGTTACAATCTCTACTATACTATAATCATGAATATATGGTTATATCACATTCATGGGTTCCCATTCCCATCCTAAAAATGACCAAGTTGGTGGGTCACCCAGCTGCCTGCTGTGTCCCAAGGCGCCTCGAACGCATGCCAGACCGTTGCGATGGTAATCGGTCCGCAATCCGAAATGACTTCAGGCAGCCGCTGAGCTGTTGCCTGGGGGATGGGATGGATGGGATGGATGGGATGGATGGGATGGATGGGATGGATGGGATGGATGGGATGGATGGGATGGATGGGATGGATGGGATGGATGGAATGGATGGAATGGATGGAATGGATGGAATGGATGGGATGGATGGGATGGATGGGATGGATGGGATGGATGGGATGGATGGGATGGATGGGATGGATGGGATGGATGGGATGGATGGGATGGATGGGATGTAATGGTAATGTAAGGTAACAAATCACGAGAAAGATCGATATAGTATGAACAATCATGATAAGCCATGAGAAAATATGATGATTCATTAATCATGACAAAACCCTAGGAATCGAAGTGAAAGAAACAGCTACCATTGGGGGTTTGGGAATTGCAAGCAAGGTGTGGAAGTCCTTGTTCAGCAACTTCTTGTTAGGATTCAATTGCTATGCTGACCACTTGAACTTCCAGCTTATTCAAAGGCTTGTGAGGGGCCTGCGAACTCATCTACTTAGTTTTCATACTCGGAGCATCCATAATGATGGACTGCACCAGCAACTTAAGCCATTTCTAAGATTTCATTACATATCAATACATATCATGTATATAATTTACATACAAGTTGCATGGTACAATCTCACTAAGAGTCGTAGCTCCGTAGCTGCAAAACTAAGTTTTTCTTTATGCACGGCTGACTGCGGCTGTGCACCTGCAAGACTCCGTTGTGGCGCAGGCGGAAGCCTGGGCAGTCAACTTGGCTGTGTGGGACGCTTCAGATGCTGAAGTGCCAGTCATCCACAGTGAAAAACTCCTGACGTTGGATATACATCGATGGCATTCCAAAAAGCGGGAAGAGCAGAAATCATACAGAAATGCAATCTATAGATATGTATATAGATATGTATATAGATATGTATATAGATATCTATATCTATCTATATCTAATCTATTCTAATCTAATCTAATCTAATCTAATCAATCTATCTGTCTATCTATCTATCTATCTGTCTATCTATATAATTATATATATACTGTATATATAATATATTATATATATGATCTATCTATAGGGTTTTTTAATGGTTTTTTATGCTTACTGTAGACGAAGCCCTTCCAAGGAACGGCCCAAGGACCACAAGGCGCGACCCAGGGAGATGCCGTCCGCCGCACACATCGTGGAGGCACACCTTTCCATAGGAACTTTCCATGGTGATTCAATGGGGAAACCATGGGAAACCAACCATATTCATACTTAATAAAACATATGATTAATACTGAAAATATATGGTTTAATATGGTTAATACTTAATTACTGTCAACCATATATTTTTAAATAGAAGAAACTTAAGATCCCGTATTGACAGGTCATTGTTTCAGTATCATAATCAGTGGAATCAGTGGTAATTTAATGCAGCTAGGGAAAATGATCCGTTTTCATAGGTGAATTTCCCCTTTCAAATAATTAGAACTCGTAATTTTCCATAGCAAAATTTACAAATTGCCAAATGGTAATCAGTGGAAACATGAAGATTTTTTACTAGATCGTTTTCATGTGGAAACAGGAAACTCAATTCGTAGCTCCAACGGCCCCCCCATTTTTTGTAATCCCGCCCCCTAATATGAAATGTCCCAAAAATGAGTGGGCCAATACTAAACCCAGGGTCGGAAATGGGGTATAATAATACAAGGGAACTGGGGTTAAGCCGGGTTAAGATGTTTCAATATGTTTTAATCATGTCTAATCCCACAATAAAAAGGATTGTGCAAGATAGGAACAAGTCACTGACAACATGGAAAACACAGAAGCAGAAATCTCTGAAACTGGGTGTGAAATGACCACTCAGTTGGATGATGTTCGATTGCAAAGGTTTGCGCGTGACCCAGCCCAGGGGCATTGAATCAGCACCGTGGCACCTGTCCAAGAGCAACTGCAAGCGTTGATCCTGAAGCTTCTGGCCACGATCAAAGGGTTAGCTGCACCCACACGGCAAGTTGTGTTTCAACACCTCCCACTTGGGCAAATTTGGGCAAAACATGAAAGTGGGGGTCTGCCCATGTCTGCCCACCTTGCGTCTGCACACGAGGTTTTGCATCTTTTCCCAGGCTGTTGGTTTTTTGTTCTAACACCTTCGATCGAAATGCAGATGTTTGAAAACCATGGTATTGATGGTATTGCTATGGGCAACTTTGGTACAATCATGTACAATCCAAAACGAGGCATTGCCCTGATGAAAAACACGGCCTGGCAGCCTTCACCATGAAAGCAGTCCTTGGAGGGTGCTGCCCCAAACTTCTTCGCAAGGCGTTGAAGCACCTGGGACGAAATCGCTGTGTATGATGTCCTTCCATGAGTACATGGCTTCACTGAAGACATGGGGCTGCATTATAGGTGTGCGTCAAAATCCGGGTACCATGCTGTAAGTCCAAAAGTGAACAGAAGAAATGACCCAGGACTTTCACTCGCTTAAATGTTTGGGGCACAATATGGTTTTCCACAAATCCTTTTGACATGTTTTCGATGCTTTGAGTTCTATCCAAATGCGTGATGGTCTAAACATGGCACTTGTTCCAGGGTAGTGCCGTCGGACACTTTCAGGGGATTGTGGGTATAGTTTGTCAGGCTCCAAACTGTACATCAATGTAAATCACATAATATGTTGAGAGGTTGTGTTATTCAGCATGCGTTTGACCATTGCACAAAATAATCAACATATGACCAAAGAAGGGAGGACACATCAACCTCATCCTTTTCACGCAGATCCTGCATTGTTGTAGATCATATTCTGACATATTCTGACATCATTGCCTAGCTGAGACCACAATGCTGCATTTCATTATTATTTGGAACCTCCAATAGGAGTTCCAAAAGCCAAAAACTCTGTGGTTCCGGCTTTGCAGGCTTGGAAGGCGAAGAAGGTGTGGACCTGGTGGCTACAGGAGCTATGTTCTAAGGTGCATCGCAGCTGTTTAGGTTGATGGCCTTCAAGAACACACAAAAAGATTTGCAGGCTTAAGAAGTCAACGTCAACAACAACACCACCACCACCAACAACAACAACAACAAGAACAAGAACAAGAACAAAAACAAGAACAAGAAGAACAACAACAAAAACAACAACAACAACAACAACAACAACAACAACAACAACAACAACAACATGTGTTCGATGTCTAAACAATTGGGACATCCTGTCTCAGAATATTCAGGCATGGTGTACTTGGGAAAAACACATCCTGCTTTGTATTAGGATCTGACAGGAACATTTGCAACAACCGGACAGTGCCTATGGTTGACACCAAACTTTGATCAACATCGCGGAACGAATTCCAAGTACTTTCAAGAGTTTCATACTGATGATCTGATGTTAAGTCAATCATTTGAATATCAAGGCGCCCTTCCGATCTTAAAACTGATGACCAGGTTTGGCAAGGTATCATATCTTTTCCGTGTCCTTTTCCAAACGTGCGACTTTGCAGACAAATTATGAATTATATATATATATATGAATGGCGGACAAAATTACTTGTTCATTCTGATGCCATGTGCAAATTAGGGTCGTAGTCGTCCCCTATTGGTAGTGAGCATTTCAAAACAGAGGTATCGGTATAGGGTCGTCCCCTATCGGTTGAAGGTTTCAAGGTTTTGCACACCCCTCAACAAGGCCAAATCAAACCAACACTAAATTTAGTATGACAATAATTTTGTCGGGTACTCTAATATACACATACATGCCCGTTTCATATATATATGTATATGATTTTATATGCATATCCTACACATATTTCTTCATGGTCATCTCCATCCCTCAGGCCTCTCTGGCCACGAGTCGTAGAGTGGCTTCCAGTCCCGCACAAGCGTCGAAGCGCTCGATGAAGGACTGGAGTCCTTGGCGACGATGGGTCAAACTTGACCCGAAGATGGAATGGTTTATGATGGTTTATGATGGTCAAACTGTGCGTCTTAAAATTTGAGCCAAACCCATATGACATGACAGATCGCCGATCGCGGATCACTTGTTTTGCTTTAATTGAGGTTTAATATATATATATATATTCCTACTAGAACACAATCCGCCAACAGGCCATGCGAAATGAGGATACTTGATAGATGCCTGAGGGCCATGATCCTTGTAAGACACCAAACAGAAAACAATTTTACTCCTGCTGATGTATGTCATAATGTAGCGAGATGTGCCGATGGTGGTGGTGATGGTGATGATGATGATGAGGAGGAGGAGGATGAGGATGATGATGATGATGATGATGATGATGATGCTCTTGATAGCCATAGGGTTCCAGTGGCATTGCACATCTACTGCAGGTCCGTATTCAACTGCGCTATGTCTCAGTGGCACCTCTCCTCACCGAGTGGATAGGTGGCAGATTGAAGCTTTGCTTCTGATCCCTGTTCTGTACCAAGTTGGCCCCAACATGATAGCATTCTTTGGGGCACATACTGCAGGAACAAGGGCATTCGCAGAAACCGGACAGCCGCAAAGATCTTTTGTTGAATATTTCTAACTTTGAAGGTCTCTCTTTAAATCTGCCGTGCTTACTCGAACTTGAAGAGAGAAATCCAATGACACCAATAGCCATCAATATGAAATCGCCTTGGGTTTGTCTGAAAATGGGGCGTGCCCCAAAACATGATGGTTAGTCAATGTTGATCATCCATGTTCCATAATTTCATATCCCTAAGAAAAAACATAGCATCAAATATCCATAATCATCATATCCATTTTAAACAATTAATGTATATATATATGTATATCAAACATCACTTCATCATCGGATCATATATCAAACATTGTGCTAAAATTATATAATACACGATGACAATGATTATTAATTATACATAATTATACCAATTTATGATTATATTCTAAAATTAATCTAACAATATACTATTACTATGGGGTATCCCCCATTTTTTGGCGCCAATGGCCTGACACAGCCGCTGAGCCACGCTGTCTTTGCTCCTCAGACAACGGCACCTCTGGTCGTGAGCGTCGACTGCCAGACTCCTGGCCAAACTGTTCGTGCATTGTACCTACATATATTATAGTTTTACATATATATATATATATACTATATATAGTGTCCCATATGTATAGGTATATACAGTACATTATGTATATATTTATATCTATATATGTTATATAACTTTATATGTATATATGCTATACTACATATACACCCTCCCCATCCCTCCCCCAAATGACCCTGGAAATAACCAATTTTAACGGAACATAATCTTCCGACCTCCTGTTTGGCAGGGTCTATGTTAATCGGGGGATGGTATGTCTAATCATAGACATAATTACAAGGGAACATAAAATCTGCATCACATACTAAGAATGATCTTATAGATATATATATATATAAGTCCAATGTACATACTGTATTAGATTATATCCTATCATAGTCTATCATGCTGGTATGTACCTACCACATGTACGAATGGTGCACCTGTTGTTGAACGTTGTTGATCGCCCATGATCGGTCTGCGGACTGTCCACCCAGAATCCGTCCTCCGAGTCCCGTGGTTCGGGATAAAAGGTCTGCTTTCCAGCCACATAGCGATACATGCATGGGCTAATGAGTACTCCAGCTCTGGGTCCCAGGTGGGATTAACAAAACAACCTGGATGATTCTTTGATGTTCTTTGTATACCGGAGAACATGATCATTTCTTGGCGACTTTCATATACGTCTCTCACTCCAGCCTAAGCGAACTACATCGAACTACATTCTTCTTGATATTCTTGATGGAAACGGTGGAAACCGCGAGCAATGCAACTAACGCAACTAAGATGATTGACCCAGTCATGCCATGAATCCACTGTCATGGCATCGTGACTTTCGTCTCTGCAGCTTGGCCAAGAAAGGCTGCAAGCACAAAATCGAAGGCACTATGTATAGCCAGCCCGTGCAAATAGAATAGGCACCAAATGGCACCATCGATACCAACGCTTTCAAATGGACAATACTCTGATTCTGTTTACGTCACATAAGAGGCCTTGGGTTTTAGACGTGGATGAGTTCCGTGTGACAACACCCGCAAATCTAGCTCTTATCCGTTTGTATCAAAGGGTCCATTGAAGATATCAATGTTCCACCTCCAAATTGGACTCCGGCCTTGTTGCTTGAGTTCTTGACATCGTCATTATATAGATTTTTGGTTGCATTGGCCGATGCTTTAGTTGGAGCATGTGCTCCTGTGACTTCAATATCAAGAAAACTTGAGTGGTGTCGACCCTTCCTCTAAAGACTCTGAAGAACAGAAACTAGAAGACTCTGGCCCGGCCTCCAGCGCGCCTCAAGCACCGCGAGACGCGCACACAACGTCATTTCTTGAAGTTGGGGACACAATGGATCTGCCCAAAATGGCTTCTATGTGGAACTTTGGTTTTCAAACCTCCTTCAGAAAGCAAAGATGCAGGGAAATGAAGAACCATGCTTTGAGGGATAAATGGAACACCTCCCTTCAGTGCTTTGGTGACCAAGCTCAGCTATGCTGGGACAATCCTGGAGTATTCATCTCATTTCTGGGATGTCTACCCCAAGTCACATCCTTTGACCCATTCCCAAGTGCCAAGTGCCAAGGTGAGCGACTGGCTTCTCCTTGATCTTCTTGAGCTGACGAGTTCGACCCACCTGAGGCTGCTTGGCATCGAAGCAATGAGTACGGCCTTACCATCTATGTATGATGTATTCATAATTATGTATATATCCAACAAACAAATGTGTTCCTTTGGCTAAAAGGAACTCACCCTTGCCCCGGCATCTGACACTATTTTGATCGATCCAGACATTCCATTCACTTGAGGACTTGGACCAGGCTTGAAAAAATAAGAATGGGCATAGACAACTCTTCCCTCCCCAGAATAAGAATGTGGCGACTCATGCAGGACATGTAGAAAAGACATGAGATAAACGTACTCCCTTCACCTAAAAAGGTACAGTAGAACCAAAGATCCGAACTGAACAGTTTACAAACCTCCTGGCCCTATTATAGCAATATCACGGGAAGACAAACCCAGGCTCAACCATCGATGGTCGACTGGCACTCAACTCTGCCCATCCCAAACTTCTCAGGTCCATGACTCGAAGTTCTCCTGTCTTCATCGAAGACCTGGCCATGTCACCCACTGGTAAAGGGGGGAGATGGGGGGAGTAATGACCCTATGGGCTGTTGGTTCTTGGAGTGTCCCATGATGCCTCTCAAGATTCACATATAGAGTCATCGTATTCCCTCAGAAGTTCGGAGCCTCTTTGGGTCTTTTGGGGGACAATCCAACAAACTCACGCAAGGGCTGAGATGGGAAGGCATCCAGTCTGTGGTACAGTCTGCAACGATATGCCGTTCAGACACGTGGCAACGCATCGGCAAAGAGAACATCAAGTCATACGCACCTATGGTGATATGGGTATTAATTATGCCCGATAGAAAAACACAGAATATATATAATTATATATAATTATTATATATATATTATATTTTTTATTTAAATATTATATAATTGTACTAGAAGCTGCTGGCCCACCCTCGGGGGTTCGCAATCTCATGGCCCAAAGCTGCTGGCGCCGCCAGGCCTCTTGACATATCTCTTGTGGAGTACGATGCAATCTGCAGCAGGCGGCTCATTTGCGTTCCATGCTATGGCTTAACTACGACTATTACTTACACAAAAGTCAGAAGAGTCTTCCCCAATCAACATAATTAATACATATCAAGCATGTATCAAGACATATAAATACAATATCATATAATTACTTATTACATATAATTACATATAATTAATTACATTGTAATTACATCCTCCTATCCGCTTCCAGTAACAATATCTTGTTCCGCAGACATGCATCCACCACGTGACCTACGACACGGAGTTTGACCCACGATGAGACCACACGCCTGCCACCCAAGCACAACACATGGCAGTGGAAGAATAAAACCGCACCTCAGACCAGTAAGGAATCCCACGGAGCCACAGCTTTGTGTCAGCTTGGTGATGCCGCCATGGGGAAAATTGGGGAGAATGAGGGTATTGGAGGCAAATATGATGTATGGTTGTGTCTTAGGATGTCTTAGGATGTCTTAGGTAAGTATTTAAATGTCCATTCATCCATTCTTTGAAGCATACAGCAATGCTTTTGGCACGGGCAGCCTGGGGCATACAAACAAGCCATTTTCCTGAAATCTCAAGACTGCAAGTTATTAAGGGATTGCAGCGAGCTGAAGTCCTTTTTCATTTGCAACTCATTTGATTTGGATTCAAATTCAAATCATTGCAAAGTTGTGTGAGTTGGTTGATAGATTTCATGAGACATATCAAATCATACCAATGAATGGCACAAACACGCATAAACTTCGTGTAAAGTGAAGCTGCTAAATGGACAGTCCATGAAGATGCAATGGCTAGGCGGCTAGGTGCCTGGCCCAGCAGGACATCCATGCTCAAGACCTGCTGACAGTGGCCCAGAGCTTGCCACATGTAGAGTATTGTCGGTCAAACATAGACAGAAACAGTCATGTCCCAAATAAGATCAAACGAGACAAAGAAGTTATTAAATCTACTACTTGCCATAATTAGAGCATACCCTTTCTTAGACAATTTTGAGTACTGTACATTGTACCGTCATATATCTTATGATTGTACATGACATGCTTCACAAAGGAGGAAAAACATGAACATACATGGACCAAAGAACAACCTGCCCGTCGCTGTTCTCAGCAATTTTCCGAGCACCTGGAAGAGGCTTCCAAGCTTCATGGACAAGGCTGAAGTCTCTGTGCCTACCTGGCGCGGTAGGCTAAATCTCAGCGACCTCATGGTCTTTATGATCTTTATGGAGCATACCCAAGCTTTACCTCTGAGACAGGCAAGTGCTTTAAGTTACCCATGTCGTTGTGACATCAAGCGTAAACAAAATCATCAAAATCTTAGAACAGTGAGAGTGAGAGTGGAACCTTGAGCAACCTGTTGCGCTTTGCCGAAGCCTGCCTACTTTTATAGGACCAAGAAGGTTTGGGCATTATATGGGATTACTGACATACCCAATGAAGCATGCGGATACCTTTCACAAACTAAACGGCTAGGACTCCAAATTTGCAGCATGGGAGGAAGGTGCTTGACTGCTTGATCTTGAGACAAGCCAATGTGATTTGTCTGGCAAAACTAAATTGATACCAGTCGCTGTCCTGTGGCGCCGAACCAATTTAGTTCCTACGCTTGTGTCATCTTGTGTCCTTCCAACTTTGGCCGGTGTTTTGAGCGTGGTTCTCAGGAGAATACAAGTACTAAATCTACAAGCAGAACATCTAGGACTCATTCCCCATCTCAATCCCTGCAGCCCTGGTCAGACTTGAGAGAAAACAGTGGCTGCTCAGGCACGCCTTTAGGAGCCCGAAGACGGCTGTCCAAGGAACTTCCAGAGAATCCTGCCAGATGGACCAGGTGGGTTCAACATTTGGTTTCAACGTGCTGTCAGCAGCGGATCCAACGTGCTTCAAGGTTCCATGGCACTTGTGAAAGGGTCATTGGTAACGGAGGACACTTAGGTGGAAGGTACCTTTTCTGTTGTGAACCCGACTGAACCCGACCTCTTCGTCAGGACATCCGCGAAAGTCAATGGTTCCATCCATGCAAAAGACTGGGATTTGGTAGATCCTGGCTGAGTTGAACCGGGCAAATATCCTTTGGGGAGACTGCCATTCCTGTACAAGTTCAAATAGTATCAAATAGTACTCATGAATCAATGTGCCAGATTTACAAAATCAATAGTGTCTGTACATAAGTTATTCACTATATATCAACTATATATAAAGATCTATAAAGGGTTCCGAGCCAGTGTCATGCCAGTGCGGTCAAGGTGAAAGCCTGTCGACATGGAGAGGCAGTTTCGTCCCCAAAGTGCCAGTGAGACATCTTCACAGTGATTGTGAAAATGTTGTAGATCTGCAAGCACCTGACAGGACTTGGTTCCGCTGCAGAACCTCACTACCCAGTTCTTCTTATTCTTCTTAGAGAAGTTGCGCGAAGCCTATATCACCAAATATTTCGCAGCAGCTAACTACTAAGTGATTCCGAAACAAACCAAGTCAGCAATCTACCTGTAGCCCTCACCATTGAACAGGAGACAAATGTTGGAGAGATCAACCGCCCGACATTTCTTTACCAGAACTTGAGCGCCTCCAAAGAGTGGGCGGTGCGTGCGGAAAGAAAATCTGAGAGATCACCTGGAGGCCGGACGGGGATCCAATTGATCCAAAATGATTCAAAGTTTCAGCATGTTTCGGAGATTTTTTGATATTTTTCCCCACCTGCCAGGTGAGGGTTGTTAGATTTTATGTCAGTTGCTTGCTCCTCCTCCTCCTTCTCCTCCTCCTCTCCTCGTCTCCTCTCCTCGTCTCCTCTCCTCGTCTCCTCTCCTCGTCTCCTCTCCTCCTGCTCCCTGCCGGACCTCAACCACGACCATCCACGCCCAGTGTGCCCTGCCGGACCTCAACCACGACCATCACCGCCCAGTGTTCCCTGCCGGACCTCAACCGCGAGTATCCACGCCCAGTGTTCCCTGCCGGACCTCAACCACGACCATCCACGCCCAGTGTTCCCTGCCGGACCTCAACCACGACCATCCACGCCCAGTGTTCCCTGCCGGACCTCAACCGCGAGTATCCACGCCAAGTGTTCCCTGCCGGACCTCATGTAGGCCTGGATCTTCCATTGCTACTTAAATTCCAGGTACGAATTATTTGAGGTACAATCACCCATTTCAGGTACGATTGAAAATTTTGGTTCGTTTGGTTAAAAAATGATACGAGACTATCTTCATCATGGTTGATCATGGTTGTTAACATGTTCTATCACTTATCCACCATCACTTCCCATCCATCGGCCGAGACCTCCACCAGATACTCCATCACTTTCTTTCCACACACTTTCACGCGTGCTTGTGCTCTTCAAGCCAGAGACAAACAGCCGGGGATCCCAGCAAGGATCTCAGCAAGTCAGGTTGCCTGGGACAACCTAAGAAAATGCCTAGTGTAAGACATCAGGCTCCTAGCAATGACCCGGAAAACAACGAGCCTTCCAGCGTTGATTCTACGGGACAGGCGGCTAACGCGGCCTACATAGTCTTCATCAGACCAGCAGGACCAACCTCAAACAGGGATGGGTTTTTTAGGAATGAACCATGGGAAATTCCAAGTCCAACAAGCTAACATCTCGACATGACATATAAGTCAAGATGCTGACGGGGTTCTGGATATGAGGTATGCCCAACGCAAGTTGATGATCCAAATCTTTCCTTAATTTTGCACAGTTTGGTCTTTGCAAGGGGTACAACCAGCTAGTAAATTCAGATTTCATATTCTAGCATGCAAACCAAGGGTCACGACATGCACAAGCATATGGAGCTTGGGCCGTATGCGGAACATCTTCCAGCCCATGCGAGCACTCAATGCCCCAAGCGCCGAGTAGCCATCCTAGGATGGGACAACACACACACACACTTGCTCAGAGTGAAGGTGTGCTCTCACCTATGTGTGTGCAAATGCGCGTTCATTAACACATCAAGTCTCGACAGCTTTGTACCCGTTTGGCACCACTACTTTGGCATACTCCCGGGTCATCCAAATGCCACCCCTGTAAAGACCACTAAAGAACTTGTTGGAGGCATCCAAGGTCCATTGCAGCACCCTCGCGATGTCGGTTTCGGCTGGCACCTTAGGCCCACATATATTCAACCTTTACTAATACATGCGTGTGTACACATACATTCTTCCACATAGATTTGTAGTAGAGGTGCCAGCGCGGTTCTGGGGGAATTGTGCGCCATGAATGCCCCCAGCCATTTGCAGAACAACGCCACATCATGCGCTCGAGAAACCCCTTGAGGATAGTCATTGTTCCTGGCTTGTGCTGGCCATGGGCCAACACCGCATACAGCAGGACACCCACACACAGCACAAATAAAAAAATATATATTAAGCAACTCCCAAGGTTCGATTTCATGTGGAACCTTTTTTTTTCAAAAGACTTTGTGCTTGCAGTTTTCTGGTTCAAAACACACCAACTGCTGAAGTCTTCATAAGCCGCATCCATCCTACTTTGAAGGCTTCTACCCGGAAAGAAATTGAGCTTGCACAACGCAACAATGGCTGATGATGAAAGGTCACCTCCAACCCCAAGGTTAAAGGTATGCATGACATCAGTCTTGATAGACTCCACCGACACACCAGGCACATCGAGGAAAGGGCTTCTCGCACTTACCTTGAAGGGATTTGGGATTTCCCCCTCAAAGGCGCGTGCTTGGCCAGTGCTGCTGACGTCCCACCATACCTGAGACGAATTGCACATGTAAGCCACGCAGAAGCACACATGAATTCACAAACCATTCCGTGTTCGAACATGACTTGGTTGAAACGCCAACCCAACCCCACAAAAATAAAAACACACACACATGCACTAAGCCACATCTCCAGGACAAAAATGGCAAATGCGTTTTGATCGAAAACCTGTAACCAAACACATGCATTTGCGGAGCCATGGCCAATCACCTTTGATTCCCACCAGTGCCGCGTAGAAGACTCGTCCAGGAGAGTCCGCATCAACCTGAAACAAGAGGGGCTGGAAAGAAACAAATATAGCTTACACTAAGTGCTTCATGAACCTCAACAATGGGTAGTCTCAAACATGTGCAAAGTAAGTACAGACAGGAAACTTTAATTTCAACACCTTTCTCAAATACCAGCGTCAGGTCTGAAGCCAAAGCTTGGGAGAGGCCCATAATGCTAGCATCTCTAGAGCGAACATACCATGTTGCAGGCATCAGGGAAGCCAGAAGACGCGTAGTGAACGAATGCCTTAAGCGCAAGTTGTCAATGAAACAATATACACCATTTTTTAGAACTGGAAAATATAAGAAAATTGATATAGATAACATATACCAAGGTTCTTTTTGATGTTCAAAGCATTGGGACCATTGTGTGGGATGATCACTTGGTAGCTAATCACCAGCAATGGGACATGAGCAAGCCCACGTCCCTCATCCCCGTGAAGAGCAATAGGGATGGTTGCCCTTCTCTCATTCAATGACTTTTCGAGAAAGATTGGGTGGTCCGGGCAAATCATTTCATATTTGGCCCAATAGTCTTCGAGCATGTCACCAAAAGGGTTTTCCAAGGAATTGCCACCCAAGAAGAATTGAGGGCACTTTGGTATGATGCTGGCCATCCATGTTGACAAAGCGAGAAAGGGATAGTCAACCTGCTCTACCTTGTTGATTCGACGCCCACTCTTGTTTGGCTTCTTCACTTTGATTGGGATTCTGGTTTTTGAAATCTTGACCGGAAAGACTTTGTCATCTCTGCGCACGTACCGGTGGAAATCTCTAGATGGATTGCTGTAGCGTTTCCCTGCAGCTGTGGCCCGTTTGTAGCGAGCTAGCTTCTCCAACTCAGGGTCCACAACTCCTGGAAAGGTCAATGATCAATGTATTAGCCTTAAAATTGGTTTTGATGTGGCACTTGCATATAGATGTCAAGGGATTCTGAATGGATTATGGCTTGTACTTGGGAAGTTACATCCAACTAATATAATTTATGTACTGGTTACAGCTCATTGAATCCACCGGCCCCCCCACCTAGTTTGGCCATCCGTTTTGAAGCCACAGAAGCCATTCGCATACATGCATTCACCGAGATAGCCTCGGCCGGAGTATCTGCGGATGGGTAGTTTAAACTCTATAAACTGTTGATTTTTGCCATATGGATTATGACCATAAGAATTAATCTTTGTAGGGTATCAAAGGTTGATCATGATCTCAAATCAAATGACCCATTTGGCTAGGGAAGTCAAGAAGCTCCACCCTCCGTTTGGTGCAAGAATTCATCAGCGAGATCATCTGATCCAGATTCATCATCATGGATACCTGTCAAGAATCGGGAATCAACTAGACGATTGCATGCATATGGCATGCAGCATTCAGCACATGTTCGGCCCAGGCCGAGCCTTTCTCATCATCACCAAGTTCGTCGGTCAGGCCTGCGCAGGGCCGAAACGATAGAATGTTTAAAATATATGTCAATTTTATATATATAGCACATGAACCATGCATGGGTGGATATATAAATCCATTCCATCCAAAGTGAAATGCATGGACAAAGTTCACGCAGTAAACTTTTTTGAACATGACCCCAATTTGGATTGCTAGCACCTACCTGTGCCAGAGAGCTCTTGAGACAAGCTTGGCCATTGGAGATCCCCCAAAACTAAAACATGAAATTTGCAATTCAGAAAGATGATTGATCACTTCATCTCACTTCGGCCAAGGAAACGAGGCTATTTCAACCTTTACAAAAAGCGATCACTCGGCAGGATCAGCAGTCTTGCGTTTTCTGGGCTTCGGATTCGAGCCCCCTGCAGGCTCCTTCGGAGACTTGGCTTTGGGAGCTCGGTTGGTCTTTGCCTTGCCCGAGCTCTTAGAGTGCTTGGGACTTGCCTTCGGGGTAGCTCTGTCAGAAGTGGTCGATTTCAGGGTCCTGTGTTGGCAGCAATGGATAATGATCAGACTAGTGTGATCTATATATTTCCAAATGATGACTTGATCATTGTTTATAAAAGGATAAACCACCCAAAAAAGGAAGGACCCGGAGGTGTGGTTTCTTGTGGCAGTATAACTATAACTATTGGAAATCTAACCAATATAATATGCGTTAAGTAAGCTACTATCTCATATGATGAACTCAAAGATTATGGGTCAATGAAATGGTCCTGCAACGTGCCAAGTAGTTGTTGAGAGACACATCATCCTTTGTACAACTGGTGAAGGTCTCAACAACATTCTTCTTCTTGTCATCGTGATTCCTGCACACAATTTCATACCCATATGATATGCATTGGACAAAGATTAGCATTATGGTTGGCCCGCAAAATCTGACCCTATCAACTCACCCGTATATAATATATACCCAAGGGATATAACAGCCTTTTTTGGGATTTGATGGGGTCAGATTTTTGGGCCAACCAAAAGGGTAACTTGCAAGTTGATGCTGACCATATGATACTAAATGCCGGGCATTCCAGGGTCTGTGGCCACATAATCAGCTTGCAAATCGGTGAGCTTGCTGTAGTATGCATTCATCTTATCCACCAACTTCTGCAACTCGCCAGCCAACCTAGGAATTGGAACCAATTCATGCCATACATTTTTATACCCAGCGAAGTGGAATTGAATTGGTACATGCATGGTATTGAATCTAAAGCCCAAGAGCGTAGAAGCGCGATCATTGCCCTTCATCTTGAGCAGCTTCTCCTGTCAAGAGGGGCTCCATGACTATGGTTGACCATAGATCGCATGAAATTATATTCACTGACGGAACCCACCCACCGAACTAATCCTTCTGGACGGAAGCATTGTCGATTTTCTTTCCCAACACCGATATGTATTGTGGGAGAATCGTGAAGACACTTTCGTTCTTCTGCAGCGTTGGGAAAACCAACCTAAGTAGTCAATGGATGTCTCAAATTATTTCGAGCACTATTGCACTACAGCATGTATATAATGCATGGGTTTGACCTGGACCAATATGGTTAAGAAACTTCCCAATGCCCGCAGAGGTTGCAGCCGCTTGTGCAGCGGCAGCATGGGCAGCTCGATCAACATCTTCAGGTGCCGCAGCCGCCGATGAATCGGCGTCCGGTACCCCTTCAAAGAGGGCACCATCTTCATCCTGCAAAGCAAGCATGTTATGATTAATATATCATGCAACCTTTTTTTTAATTAACCATCGAATCTAACGTGCACATGTATTTGACAAACACTAGTCCTCGATGGCAGCACTACTCGACAACTGCTGAGACGATCCCGTTTCATCCCTGTTGTTGAAAGTGTCATCAAGCACCAAACGGGCTTCTTCTTCTTTGTGTACGTTGTTGGTTCTCACCAGACCCATGGAACGAGCATGAGCAAAACTGGCATCAATCATGCTTTTGCTGTAGTGGCACACTTCTTCCAAGTATTTTTTGGTGCACCAGCGGCCACCCACATTAGTCACATGTGTTTGTTTTGTCCACCGAGACAACGTCATCTCCACGATTTTGAAGTCACCATGCTTGACAAGGAGCTCCCGTAGCTTTCCCCCTTAGCAATCGATATTTTGAACATGGTCCCACTATTCCAGTGTTCCAGCAACCATGACACATTATATAATCCAAGTAACTACCCTTCTCCTTATCTTTCCACAGATCCAGCACCTCCTTCGAAGCCTTGAACTCACCCTTCTTGTTGGGCTTGACATACCGGTTGCACCTGCCAAGGATCGAAGGGGGTGTTATGTATATATTGAAACCTTCAACGAACATGATTATACTAGCTGGGGCACTGATAGTAGTATTTGTCATAGACCACTGCACTTGGTGCCATCGAAGGGGCAGGGGAACCCGTTGAGATTCCTGATGCCTCAGAGTCCTTTGGTGGTGGTGGGATTTCTGATGCCTCAGAGTCCTTTGGTGGTGGTGGGGTTCCTGATGCCTCACATCCCGCATGGGTCTCCTCTGCTGGAGGCGTTGGACTGACATCCTCCAACTGTCGACTTGGCGAAGGCCCCGGCCCCAGGGTAGGATCAACCCGCCATTGGCTTTCAATTAAAGGGGGCTCGGGAGAAGGAGAATCCTCAACCGTGTCAATCGTGGCACTAGACTTGAATCTGGTTAACAGTTCCACTGGTCTCATTGGTGTCGTGGCAGGTGATTCACCAGCCACTGATGTTGGTACAGCCGACTTGTTGTCATCATCAAAAGATTCAGCCCGGAAACCAGCAATCCCCCGGATAGCAGTGCCGGCTACATAGGCACCATCAGCAGCAGCAATAGCCGGTGCACCTTGCACAACGAGTTCTAATCCAAACCAATTTATATATTAATAGGCCACATCATTTTTTGGACAATGATCTCGATACGTATGGTCCTGAATGACAGCAATGGTGTATATAAATATATACCTGGGGGCCTAGGTATTATAATATTATATATAACATGTTGATTTTTTGATATGGTATCAAGCCCATGCCATGCATATGATCATGGTTCCCCTGGGAAGGACCCCCATGATTTCAGAACCAATGAGTTGGCCTGGCACGGCCACAGGTTTGGCATCAGATCCACGGCCCTTCATCTTCGATTGCAAGGCGGCAATCCGAGCTTTGGAAGCCTTGGCACAGGGCGATGACACAGGCACTAAGCGATATAATGCATGGAACATAATGCGATAAGTATTTCAAAATATATACCGAATCATAATCGAGAAGAGGGTCCGCAATACGAGCTTTCACATCGTCTAGATCTTTGCCATCACAAACCATGGCACACCCTGCTTTAAGTGTTTTGCAAGAGTGCAGCCTCTCACACATAACCGTCAGTGATCTAGCCAGCTACTCCTTGATCCACACAAAAATTCAAACAAATTGGCAAATGCAAGAATCAATTGGTACCCGATTTTCAATTTGCGGTCGTTTTGCGGATTTTGCACTCTTTTGCGCTCGTTTTGCACGTTTTTGCGGTACGTTTTCTCCACCATTTTTTCCCCAAATCTCCGCAATGATCTCAAAATGCTAATTTAGAGTGCACGAGCCTTTGAAAAGCTGTCAACCGACACTGGAGGCCAGCACTTCCGCATTGTAGGCTTGTCGGTCCGCCTCAGGCAAAGAAACCTCAGCAGAAGATGGCAGCACGGAGGTTCAAGGGAATGGGACAGCGGGTTTGAGTTTCATATTTGCCAAATAACATGCAAACATATATATGCAGCTGAGCTGCCCTTTTTGTGAGCTCATCATCAAATATCTTCATGGCATTCTCCCAGCTTGCTGGTATGGAAACATGTTTCGACGTATACATGTATTTCCAAACCAAATGCATTTTGCCGTCGATCCATACATCTCCAAGCGGCAAGCTTTCAAACAACTCCCTGTCGGTTTTTGTGGGGTCAATCTTCAACCGGTGTCGCATATGCGCTGGGAAAGAGGTTCTGTTTTCCCAGGCCTTTAGTAGGCATTGCCCAAAACCAACAGGATAGCACCTCGATTCCCAATCAAACAGTGACCATCTACGCAATTTGGAGTATATCAACTACTGAGGGATGGACGCTGTGGCTTTCAGATCTGCTGAACCACAGAATTTTTTTTCCCCTCTTTGTTCACATAACGACCTCATTGTAGAATTGTGGTTCAAATGCCATGAGTTAAGGAGAATCGAATCATTGCCAAGTTCCCCCCACCATTCCTGAGTGTCTGACGCGTGGTATGCAGCACCGTGTTTGCAAGACGAACCCCCTTTCTCAAAGGGCCCAAATTAAGGCAATTCACCCATGGTGCGTTTGAATAGCATATGGTTGGTTTGGGAGAACCATGTCCATGGAGCTGCATCCAAAAGCGGCATGAATATACCTAGGTAGACAAGATATAGTTGACTGTTTGGGTCACTACCAGGGCAAACCAGTTGACATCAGTACATATGCAATATTGCAATCAAAGGTTCATAACAGGTGTGGTTGATAAACGTTTCAAAGCGGTGTGCTTTTTGCAGCAATGAGTTGGCCGGTTGCTCAATCACAAAATAGGCGTGCTTTGCCATCATGAGTAATAGGCACAGCACTAACCTCAGCAAAAAATTGGTGGATATCCCGTACAGCCATTCGATACTTTGAACATGCATTATGCATGCATGGGTATGGGTCAAAAAATGTTAAGCCCCCACATAATACTACTCCAAGGGTTAAATAAATATTAATTAATATATATAGATCGGTGTACCCTTTTTTGACCCATAGCCATATAGACAAGAATCTTTGCCACGCACTCATTGGCATCAGCCACAAAGCCCAGTTCCATTGCACCAAATGGATTGATGTATGTTCGTTTCGATGTCCCCCTCGCTGGGATGCCCCAAGAGGCACACTCGGGCCCCATTAAATTGAGAGCTTCTTCACATTCGCAAAGGATAATGTATATAGTCAACCTAGGTTCCGCATCCCCATTTATATTAAGATGATTTTTATCATGACTACCTGCGGACAGTCGACAAGAATCCCGGCGGGGTGAGGAAGTTCATGATTCGCTCACCAGGCCTGTGGCTCTCATCCACCGTTGCAGTGGCATACCCCGCTGAACTCCTTGGCAAGGCAGTGGGCATCATGGGAGAACAGGGGGCCGTGACCTCTACAACAATTTTGGGGTGATTGTGCATGCTGCATCCTAGTAACCACACTTTAGTAGCATTGGCAACTCCAGCAAACAGATCAAGGAATTGAAATCGACGTTGGATCGGTGGCACATTCGTAGACCACATCACCATCAACGTAACTGCAATTAGGACCTGAAGGGGTGGACATGTTCATGCCGACTGTCTATATATTTTGAGTAAATTTGAATGTGCACATATGTTGACAACATCGCCGTTGGCCTTGGGTGCACCCAATTGAATCAAGTTCACCACCATCGATTCCCCACATGGGTCCATGGCAAAGAGAGGGGGATGCTGGCCTACTGTTCCTATAATTAGAGCCCAAACTGCAAATGGCTGAACTAGACAATTTTTGAGTTCCATGACATTGCAAAAATCAGCTCATGATCCAACAAGTGATCAGTCTTTCAGAGTTGTTGGCTGTGTGCAGGCACTGCACTGCACGGCACGGGGGCGGGCGCACCTCCAAATCGAACAGCCCATCCCTCAGAACGCGGCATGGTTCAACCTGCGTGGCCGGGGCATACATTAGTGGATATAGTACTATATATGCAATATATAAGATGGCAAAGGATAAGAATCCAAATACGTATATTAATCCTTATCCTTTATCACCTATATAGGATTCCAGTGACCATAGCTTCAAACGATTTCGAGTGCACACATTGGATTTTCCAAGCTGATTGGATCCCAATGCCTATACACGTGTTCAGAGTTCAGAGCCAAGAATGATCTATCCACAATTCACAGGCCAGTGCTTCTGAGCAACCACCCTTGAAAACTATATAGATTGCATGGCTACCCATGCACGTGTCAAGCAACCCACAGCCAACACTTTCATGTTAGCAAGCCCCACAGGCTCACGGCCAGACCGACGGATCAGTCAGTGTTCTTGTAGGCCTTAGTCATCACAACCAATATATAATAATTTCAATGGCATATATTGTTTGAATTGTGCATCATGGGATCAACGTGCACAATAAATAAGATCCTGACTTCCTTTGCCCTTTTCTCAACCTCCTCCGGATCACAGCCTTCATTTTTGGCCTTCCTTTTCGCCACATGGTAGGCACTGCTCTTGCGGCTCAACTTTGCCTTTCTCTCAAGCAATTCAGCCTCAGAGAGTTCCTTTCTTTTTCCGGAGGCAGCCTTCTTTGCCTTGGCCTCGACCTTGCCTTTGCTTTCAGTTTTCTTTGTTGCTGCTTTAGCCTTTGCCTTCTTCACCCTGGATCCTTTCTCCTCTGCTCCTGCTGTCTTCTTGGCCTTTTTTTTGTCAACGGGTGCAGGGGCTGAGTGCTGAGGGTCAGGTGCTGCAGCTGCTTCCGTACTGGGCAGGTAAGGGAGTGTGGTACACTTCTTCAATCTCTTGAAGACTGTTTCTCCACCTGCATCTGGGGCTGGCGGCGGTGCCTCATCATTGTCGCCTTCATCCTTGTGATCTTCGTCATCCTTCTGATCCTCCTCCTTTCCTTCCTTGTGGCAAGACTTTCCTCGGCCTCGACCTCTGCCACGTCCTTTTCCCTTTCCTTTGCTGCCACGTCCTTTTCCCTTTCCTTTGCTGCCACGTCCTTTTCCCTTTCCTTTCCTAGGTTTTCTTTTGCGCTTCTTTCCTTCCTCATCTTCCTCGCTTGCCTCCGAATCCTCCTCCTCATCCTCTGGGCCCTCATCCTCTGCTGCTCTGGTTAGCTGGTTTTGTTGAGCTGGGGAAATGCAATCAACCTTTGCCAAAACCTCTGGGCGATCTGTGCCCTCTGCTTCAGAAAGCTCTTGTTTCCACGTTTTGACACTAGCAGGGTCAAAAGGTTCTTGAACACAGACTGGTCGCAAGTGTGCCGCTTTGAAGTTCTTGGCCAAAGGATCCTCCCTTACTTCGGGTGCTGGTGTTGCTTTGTGTTCCTCAACAAGTCTTGCGATTTTCTCAGTAACTTCTTTCTGTGCCTCTTCCCTGGGTTTCTTTTCCAATTTGTGCAACCACCCAAATTCCGGATCCACCTCCTGTTCATCTCCTTTTCTAGCCTCCTTCTTTTCCTCTTGTTGTCCTTCCTTGTGATGGTCTAACTTTGGTTCCTCAACGTTTTCATCCTTTCCGTTCGTCTTCTCCTGACATTTTTCCTTCTCATTTGTTTCTCCTTCCTCATGACCCTTTACAGTTGGATCAACCTTCTCCTCCTCTTGTTGATCTTTCTTTGCATCTTTTGCCTGCAAGCTCAGATATACATTGCATAAAAACTCCAAATTTTGAGGTATACCCATTTTAAATCCCGTATAGACTACATAAGTCCTAAGACATATAAATTAAATACCTGATGAGATTACCTCCCCAAACTTACCCACTGGGATTTATTGTGGGTATACCCCATCATGCGCGTTGGACGCAGGAAATCACGATTGGTTTTAGCTAACACCTTGAGATACCTTGAGCTACCAGGAACAAGCCATGGTTGCCGCTCCCGAGGCCAAAACTTGGGCCTGCAACTTCTTGGAGGTCGTGATTTCGATATCTGCCGGCAACATGTCGTGTTTGTCCTGTCGCTTGGCTTGGCGAAGTTGGCCCCGGACAAATGGATTGGATTCAGGAGTGGGGTCAGTAGGGAATAGATTATATAATTAATGTGGTACGAATGGGTCTCCTCCACCAGAAAGCCAGAATCAACTGTTTCGGGCATGGTGTAGGGCAGTGTGTCCACAGCATCCAGGTTGGTACCTTAAAGCATGGCTGGTGGCAATTACAAATACCTATGGTAGGCCTTATAAATTATCAAGCATAAATAATGTAACCCGGCCTATATGATATATATTATAGTTATATAACAGTAACTGTTGCCAACATTGACCAAGTACCCACTGGAAATGGTGCGCACTTGCTCGATGCGCTGACAGTGGAATTCACATGTGACCTCATCGCCTCAAGAGCTAACCTTTCCTCCTCTTCCTGAAGGCTCTCAAGAAGTGCAACTTCGACCAAAAGTTCCTCCTGTAAACGTAAGTAAGCATACTCTGCCTCCAATTCTTCTTCAAGTTCATGTTCACTCCCCTTAACCAGTGTACCAGTACTAACGGCCACAGAGCCATCAATTTCTGAGGGGATTGCATTCTCACCAACTTTGGCTTTCTCAATGGACGGAAGAGAAGGCACCACAACTTGCTTGCAGGGTTTGGATACCAAGCCATTCAACTCCGGGTGCCATTTCAAACAATCCTGGCATCCAAATCCCATGCGAACAGAGACAACGCGATGCTGGTACACTTTCTCTGTGCTCTCCAACTCATCCAAACTCTTTCCTTAGGGCCGCAAAGTATACATGAGATATTGTGAGATAACCATTTTGGATATTGTGATAAATTTGCCGTATAGATCCAATTGTTGATCATAATTTATGCGAGGATCGCTGTGATGGCAACGGTGACGTAAAGCCTGCCTCTTCCAAGGCCGCATCAGAACCTGCGTTGTGGAAGTAATTGGTGTGAGACCCAAGGGCTGGGTTGCATATGACTGGCCTGGTTCCGTGTCGAAGGGTGTGACTTCTTCATCTTCAGCCTTAATGGGAACAATAAAAAAGACAATAAGATATTATAAGAGCAATTATCTATGTTGATTGTTTGTTTGACTGAGAATGGTACGCTATCATCGTTCTCAGATTCACCACCTTCACAAGTGCCATCCTCATCATCATCATCCCCATCGTCCGTGTCCATCTCACCTGAGCTTGGGCATGAACATGGTATCCTCCCCAGTAGTGACGGAATTGAACAATATCATATGATTTCTGCATGAGTTCCAAGTCCCAACATTATGCCCGAGTAGCGGGGGTTGTAAGGAAGAGTCATCCCAGCATTCAAGTAGATGTCCCTCATGGCTTTCTCCCTAGGGTAGTGCCCTCTACGGGCAGCACGGTTGAACTCGGTGATGAGCCTCTTGATGATCCAAGCCTGGAACTTCGCGCGGTCACCTGGGCCCGACGGAGCAGTGGATGGGTTATAGATCTATCTCGTATATATTATCGATCTATGGGTCAAAATGATAATGTCAAAAATTATCCAATGGAGTTTTAATTGCAATAGCCATCCAGGTACCCAATTTTGACCCATAGCATCACATCTATCGAAATAAACCTAGCTGCTGAAAATTTTGAAATTGCTACCAAATGACTGGAGACATGGTTCTTGCCTCTTGGACGGGAATATTCAAAGAACAACTCAACATGTTCCTTGATCATATTCACTGTAACTCTGGTTCCCAAAAACTTGATGATTGGAGATATGACATCCCCATTGGCCACCACATCTGCACGGTCAAGAAGTTTGGGATTTGTGACCAACGTGAGTCTACCAACTGCTCCCCGGTTCATCAGGGTTGGGCTTTCTGCCCACATTTCCACCACTGGCGATGCCATGATGGGCAAAGGAACTGACAAGCCAAATGCTACACCGTGAAATTTCAATATGGATCCACGGAAGGTGTATATATAATAGGATGGTCACATATGGTTACGGTATGGGTCAAAATCTATAAATGAAACCTTTTGTGGGACGACCACCATTCATATAATCCATGGACCACCAACATTTTGACCCATACCTTATGGTCGACATCACATGCATCTCATGTGCAGAGGGAGGGTCTTGGCACCTGGTGGGTATCAAAGTCCCGCATCCAACCTGGCACATAGTCCAGTGAACCCTGTGATACATGCATGCAGGGATGAAAAGGTTAATGTAACAAACGGCCAGTTGCCCGGCCTTTTGACACTTGAAGTTGGTCGGGGATTGAGGAACCTGTCAATGTTAGCTGATGGCTATGTAAAACTTCAAGAACTTGGATGACATGAAGGGTACCTCTTTCACACCAATGCCAGAAAGGCAAACGCCATCACATGTACCTGACACGCGAGGTCATGTGTGTCCTGGACTTCCACATCACCCACGCACAGCTGCATGCATACAGCGGGGGCGCACCAATCCACCCCTGTTGGCATTTGATGGCTTGACAGGGTTCAAACCAAAATGGCAGCCATGGAAGTGGCCGAAACTCACAAAAAACAAAAAACGCTCGAATCCACGAAATATGTGCGAGGCATAAATTTAAGGTACAATTGGGGATTTAAGGTACGAGATGCAGATTTAAGATACGAACATAGGGAGGGGCAGAAATATAAGGTACGTTAGAAGCCCCAGGGGAAGATAAAATGTCAGATAGAGTGCCAGAAGATTTGCCAGGTAGAATGAATGCCAGAAAATATGCCAGAAGATATGCCAGATAGATATGCCAGAAGATATTCCAGAAGATATGCCAGATAGAATGCCAGAAGATATGTCAGAATATATGCCAGAAGATATGTCAGATAGAATGCCAGATAGAATGCCAGAAGATATGTCAGATAGAATGCCAGAAGATATGCCAGATAGAATGCCAAATAGAATGTCAGAAGATATGTCAGATAGAATGCCAGAAGATGTGCCAGTAAGAACATGTATAAATGTCATGGTGGGGATCACACGAAGTAAAGTAATTTGATAGTCCATGATAAACCATATAGATCATATAGGTACCACATGCCTCCATATGTCGTGAACTTCACCAAGGTGATATCTCTGTTTGGGACCTACAATGTGCATCTGGGAGACAATCAAAACTAAACATAGTCTCTCCACATCTCTCTGCGTTGACACAGGCCCTGAGGCCCTGGATCGAGAAGGCCGAACGGGCCGAACATGACCAGTTTCATCTGAGCCACCACAGCGAAAACGGTCCCGAAGGCGAGGACAGAGCGGTAGCTGGCAAACCTGAACTTCACGCAGACTCCAGAGGTATCTAAACCAAACGACACATAGCCTCCCTGATTGAAGCCGTTCAACCCAAAAAATAGTAGCATCTTGTTTGCAAAAAAAAGGACTGAGTACCACCTGATTGGGGAGATCTGGGGAGCAAACTGGAGCATTGCACATATCGCAAGCAGCGCGAAGGTATGCGACCACATCGCCTCATAGCCCCAAGGGTTATCTCTTGCTTTATTGAGATATGGATTGAAGATGGGTTGGACATAGTTAAGACTTCCAAATGGAATAATTTTGGTCATTTCCACTACGAAACCATCCATTTTTTCAGGAAAAATCGAGCGCGTGCCTTTCCCAGCAATCTCAGGAAATTTCTCGGATCGTCGCCCTTCCGGTGGTCCTGATCCCAACAGCCCAGATCCCCTGGAAGAATTGATTGATTCTGCTATACCAGTCTATAGAGAAAGCTTTTATTTTTTGCAGGAGCGTCTTTGAAGATACTTCAAGCCTTGAAAAAACTAAAGCACGCTGTAGGACTGAAAGTGTCGATGTCGATCTCCTCGATGGTTTCAGATCGGAGGCCATCTGGACCAACACTGCAGAAGAGCAAATCATCAATGGCGGCCTCGATTCTGGAGCTTTCAGATCATCTCTGGATACTTGACAAATAGATACAAATTGATACAAATAGATATAATAGATACAAATAGATATAATAGATAATAGATATAATTGAATAGATACAAATAGACTTTCAAATAGACTTTTCAAATAGACATCTGATTTTCAAGGGAGGCTCGAAAAAAGGATTCCAACTCTGTCCAAAATATGAGGTCAACACATTAACCATAGCTTGGAACTGCCACTGCTGGCGGCGGCCCAAACTGGATTGACAAACCGCAGTTATTATTATTAAATACTATTATTATGATATAATTTATATACTATTATAACTTTAACTCTGATAAAACATGGTACCTCTCAACATCTCTCAAACCCAGGGATTCGGTTTGAGACAGGGCCTCCACCAAGGGCCGGGTCCGCCTCATCAACTCCTGCCAGCCACTTGGGAAACCACATGTAGCGTATAGTCTTTCCACCTATTGCGCATGTACAAAAACGTATGTGTGTGTATACATAATTATACATATATATAATATAATATGTAATATATATATAATATATATATTATATATTATGTATATTATATACATTATATATAATATATATAATATATAATGTATATAATATACATAATATATAATATATATAATATAATACGTATATACATAATGTATAATGTATATAGATAATATATATATATATATTATACATATATACATTATATTACATTATTATATATATAATATATTATATATAATATATATAATATATAAAGTATATATAATACATGTGATATATAATATATAATATATAATATATAATATAATATATAATATATAATATAGAATATATAATATATAGTATATATAATATATATTATATATGATATATAATATAATATATATATGTAATAATAATATATAATATATATAATACATATAATACATATAATATATATAATCTTTAATACATAATAATATATTTATATATTATAAATCTAGTATAAAATTATATATATAATACTTATATATATATAATATAATACAGTATAATAATTATATACGTATAATTATATATAAATAGGTTTGTCTGAAAATAGTGTAGCCCATTGCACCCCTAAATCCACTGGAGTCACAATTCCCTCCAGGGCAACTCCCTCCATCCGCCAGGAAGCATGGCACCTCCAAGGTAGGTCTTCGTTCCCTTGGCGTCTCCTCAAGCACGATGGGACTCATGGGACCTCTCCAACCTTGAATACCCTCTGGTAAACTAATATAGCTATGGAAAATGGCCATTTATAGTGAGTTTTCCCATGAAAAATGGTGACAATCACCATTTTTAATGGGAAAATCCACTATTTCTATGGTCATTTTCCATAGCTTTTTGTATGTTTACCAGAGGGTATCTTGAATATCCTTGAGCAGTATTGAAATGTATTGAATAGTTGCAGGGCCTGAACAACTTTGGGACAGATTTTGATTGGTCATCAGAAATTGATCAAACATTTTCCTCAACCTTCGCTCACGACTGGAGGTCCTCTACTTGCTGGCTTGTAAATGTGGCATCTTGTGAACCCTCGGCGGGCAAAGTCCCAAGATGCGAAAATGGCTTGCGTCTTTTCTCATTGTTTGAATGGTTCTTTCTTTTCCAGACTCGTAGGCTCACTACTCGCGCTTTGTCATCTCAATATCATATGTCTGGTCTCTCAGAGTATTGAAAGATTGCAGCCCTGACTAGCTCATCTAAAAATATGTGAAAGGGAGACCTTGTTTGACTTCTTCAGTAGCAGAACTACCCTGCCTCGTGAGCTGTTCGAAATGAGACATCCTTCCGAGGTGCCGCAAGTCTCCAAAGCAGATTGAGAAAGTTGTCGCTCTTAAACAAACATCTGATCGGATTTCTTCTCAACACTAAGCAAGCAAGCAATGTTGAATCCATTTGAAGCGGAACATTTGACCACAGGCCCAACAAGATTACCAAAAAAGGTATTGCAACCTGCTGACAGTGAGCAGCCAGTGTGGTTATCAAGTGAATTATAGATAATTATAGTATGAACATGTATCAACTGTATCAACCCAATGTGCATTTGGACAATTGCAAATGATCGGTCCTGTGTAACTCCTTCTGCTTCTTGGCTGGGATTGCTTGCCCGACATTTCTCAAGAAGCTCCGCCTAGTCAGGAAATGCAACAGCGCTGTCATGTGTCCAGTCAATATGGATTCATCCGAAATCACAGAAAGGGATGTAGTGGCACATTGCCAAAGGCTAGATTGCACACAACATTGATGCCATGACATGCCATGACCTTATAACTTATACCGATTTCTCCAGCAATGGGCATCCAGGCAAGCGAATTTCGGGCATGGGCCATGCACCAAAATCTGAAGCCGACAAGCAGTCTGAGCAGAGAAGATAGTGAAGATAGTGAAGTTGAAAAGATGGGAGGATGATGGGAGGATGATGGGAGGATGATGGGAGGATGATGGGAGGATGATGGGAGGATGATGGGAGGATGATGGGAGGATGGGATGATGGACGGGAAATCAACCAAAAAATAAACAAAACCAATCCCAGAGATCCCGTCCTCGTCAACGGCCGAGATCCGCTTGAGCCTTTTGAGCTCCTCGCTCCTGGTCGTTGGAGCGGTTCATGCAGGACATTGCCCTGTGATGCCCTGTGTATCCGATACACAAAGTGTTCGCGTTCGCCGCAGATTCTGTTGTTCCGCTCCAGGCAAAGTGGGAGGTTCATGTCATGCTTAGAAGAAATCGCCAATGATAAATGATAACTAGCAGTACCTAGCAACTAGTAAATACACTATGTACACATATGTACACTATGTACACTTCAATCGCACCATTTCCCGCCCTAGAAACCATTTACATCAACAGCAACGTCATGTGTGGCATGCGCTGCTGCTGGTCCAAAGGATTCCCTTAGTGGCCGTCTTGAATCAGCCAACTCACAGCAACTCCTCATGGCAGAGAGGACACATTCTTCAAGCAGACCAGCGGTCTTGTCATCCAAACCTGGAGACATTGGACTGATGCTAAAACTAGTCTGAAAATCGTTTAGTCCAAAATCCGGTTGGTTGTCATGTTCCCCATTTATGGCTCAAACCCAAGCTGCTTGTGTCACCGGCAGCTGAAAGTGCCTTCTTTCAGCATCCAGTTCTCATACTGCTGCGAAGAGTCTTCCCACAGACCTCAGGCTTGATCCTTCAACCCTCTCAGATTGTCGCCTTTCCACAGTTTCAAAGCTAAACTATGTTAAACCAGTCTAATGTCTGTGTTGGTATATTATTTGCTGGAAACATGTTGGAAATACATGGACATATATACAAGTCAAAATTATACAAATATATACTGTACATGGAACTATATTATGGAAATACAGGCACACACTATTATAGATCATATCATTATAGAGATTAGATTAGATAATAAGTAGATTATAATTTAACTATAATTTCAGAAGTCACTGTGAATTTAGCTGTTGTTTGGAAACATTTGCCATTTGCATGCAAACAAGAAGTTAAACACAATTGGTTGGAGGCTCGAATCCTCCCAGGTCCGACTGTCTTATCTACCTATCTAATCTGTCTACCTACGTACCTGGTTACCGATCTAATATCATCTAGTCTATCTAACTAACATACCTAATGAATCTAATGAATCTAATGAATCTAATCAATCTAATCTAATCAATCAATCAGTCAATCAATCAATCAATCCATCCATCCATCCCATCCATCCATCCATCCAATCAATCAATCAATCAGTCAATCAGTCAATCAATCAATCAATCAATCAATCAATCAACCAAATCAATCAACCAACCAACCAATCAATCAATTCAATGAACCACTCAATCTATCCTATCTATCCTATCCTATCCGATCCTATCTATCTATCTGTCTGTCTGTCTATCTATCAATCATACCCCATCCAATCCCATCCATCTAATAAATCTATCTATCTCATCTATCTCATCCAGAATCTAATATTATTGAAAGACAAATCATAAAATTGAAAAGTAAATGAATTAGTCAGTAAGAAAAAATAGAATTATTTAATAACTTAATTATGAAAAAAACTATTAATTAGTTAGTTCCCCACCTGCCAGGTGAGGGTTGTTAGATTTTATGTCAGTTGCCTCCTCGTCCTCCTTCTCCTCCTCCTCCTTCTCCTCCTCGTCCTCCTCTCCTCCTCCTCCTCGTCCTCCTCGTCGTCCTCGTCGTCCTCGTCGTCCTCGTCGTCCTTGCTCAACTGCGACCGGCGATCCACAGTGTTCTCTGCCGGACCTCAACCACGACCATCCACGCCCAGTGTTCCCTGCCGGACCTCAACCACGACCATCCACGCCCAGTGTTCCCTGCCGGACCTCAACCACGACCATCCACGCCCAGTGTTCCCTGCCGGACCTCAACTGCGAGTATCCACGCGAAGTGTTCCCTGCCGGACCTCATGTAGGAATGTCAGATAGACTGCCAGATAGAATGCCAGATAGAATGTCAGATAGGATGCCAGATAGAATGCCAGATAGAATGCCAGAAAGAATGCCAGAAAGAATGCCAGATAGAATACTAGATAGAATGTCAGATAGGATGCCAGATAGATAGAATGCCAGATAGAATGCCAGAAAGAATGCCAGGAAGAATGCCAGATAGACTGCCAGATAGAATGTCAGATAGAATGTCAGATATAATGCCAGATAGAATGCCAACATATATACCAGAATATATGTCAGATAGAATGCCAAAATATATGTCAGATATAATGCCAGATAGAATGCCAGAATATATGCCAGAATATATGTCAGATAGAATGCCAGAATATATGTCTATAATGCCAGATAGAATGCCAACATATATGCCAGAATATATGTCAGATAGAATGCCAAAATATATGTCAGATATAATGCCAGAATATATGCCAGAATATATGTCAGATAGAATGCCAGAATATATGTCAGAATAAATGACAGGTAGAATGCCAGAATATATGTCAGATGAAATGTCAGAAAATATGTCAGATAGAATGCCAGATAGAATGCCAGAATATATGCCAGAATATATGTCAGATAGGATGTCAGAATATACTAAATATATGTCCAAATATACGTCCTGACATGTCATGGTGGGGATCACACGAAGTAGAGTAATTTATTTTTTCATTAAAATTATACACTTTTATATTAAATAAAATACTTTGAAAACACTGATTTCCCAGACTTCCAAACCACCAACCCAAACCACCACGTAAGCGTAATCTGACTATATTATGGAACTATATTATGGAAAATATTATGCACACGATGCTTGTTTTTTCGTTGTTTCACTGCACAGTTGCCCCTGCACTGCGCATCCATCTGCCACGAGGCCCTGGCAATCCGGCAGAGGTACACAGAATTCGCCATCAGAGCCATCAGAGCCATCAGGACCTCAGCCGCAAATGGGCAGCAAATGTCAATGGATTTGTTTAAGGGAAAATCTTAACCGGAAACCATGGTAAATATACCATCAAATATAGGGTTTTCCTGTAAATTTTCCCATCATCCAATTCTATGAAAATGGGGAAGCTCTTGCTGAAGGATATCCTGGTCACTATGGATATCTATGGATCTAGATTTGATCGACATCCTACCAACCATCACAAGCTTATGATAACTTCTGATGATGAAACTTGACCCAGTCAACATGGATCCTTCTGGGCCTCGCACTCTTTGATTCCGTTGCAACACCAGCTTCCTTTCACCAAAAACACATCTAAAAAACGCACACCTTTCAACTTCATCTTGGAGCCACCCTCATGCGCGCACACACACACACCCATACACACACACAGAGTGTTAACAAGCGTTTGGGCAAAGATTCTTGGATGAATGCCAAGTATAGTAGCAATCAGCCCAGAAGCATCTTCTTACTTGTCCTACAAGCTCTGGTAACATTTTTGGGATGTCAAATTTCACTGCAGCCTTCGCGAACTTCATAAGCTTTGGTACGACTTGATCTTGTTCAAAGCCAGAAAGCCTGGCTTCGGAAATGGAGAGGTCCGCCATCGTCCGCCTATTGTCTGAAAAGGGAGAAGGTACGATGCGACTCGTGTGTCCATGTCGACATGAAATTAACAAGCTATCATAACTACATGATTCTGATAGGCAACGTAGGGAACCTTGCAAGAGAGATGCCTCGTGGAAGGGCAAACAAGGACC